ATGTTGGTAATACAATGAACGAAGCTGAGCGGTTACAGCAGCACCGACTGTATGCGTTGCGTTGCCATGGAAACCAACATGAATCCAGTTGTTTATGGAGTAAATATAAAGACTGTATGTTTTCACACTGCAGCTATGACAACTCAGATTAGAAAACTGATTCGTCTGCTGCTGTTTATTTCATGGAAAATTAAATCAATGACATTAATTTAATTTTGATTTAAACTAAAGTGGTTTCCACGTATCTTCACCACAGGGCTGAATTTGACCCGAAAGACACTTTTTATTGTCGTGTTTGAAGTTTAAGAACTTTAATGATGCCGCTGAGCTCTTATTCTGCTTCATCAGTCCATTAATGTGACGACATTCTGCCATTAAAGACATCGGTCATTGTTATGTTTATGTTCCTCCAGGTTTTATTCAGACGTACGGTGACAGACACACAGTATGATGTTTGTTATTCATTCATGTTCCAGGTGATGTGTGATACTGACTAAATCTACACTATTAGCAGCTGATCAAACTCTCCAAATAACTAACAGCTGAGTTTATTTATTTATACAACAGTGACACTGAAGCTCAGGACTCAATCTGAGGACGGCTGTGATGATCTAGCTACTGATCGCATAAAGGTGAGTCGCGTTCTCTCTTTGGAAATGGAGATCATGTTGATCCTGCTGCTGCCTGAAGCTTTAATAAACTCAGACTCCTACAAACAGCTGGAAGGACAAACTAAACTGGGATTCTGTGGCCTGACTCACCATCAGATCCTGACCTTAATAATTTAGAATTATCAGAATTAATAATGTGACCGATGTTGATGTTCCAAATGTTCCAAATGTGTGGAGGAAAAAAAACCAAATGACATTTATTGCAGTGTTGTTGTCATGGTAGTGAAGTTTTACTATTATGGATTTAATTCCGTCACCGAACAGAAATTGTAGAGATTTTAGCACAAACTGCCCTCTGTGATGTTTTTGGACATCAGCTTTTACGATTAACAGTTTTCCACTAGCACTCCTCTCCTGCCTTACTTGCGGTAACGATCAAATTGTCAAAGTTTGCTGTTCATCATAATTGTAAATGTTAACAACACATTCCCTTTGAGTAGATGGAACACAATCTGTCAGTCCTGTGTCGAGGGAAAGTCACATGAAACATCCCTTTTTATGTGAAACCTGGCTAGCAAAGAAAGCTGATACCCGCTTCATCATGTCTGATTGGGGTGTGAGGTTCTGTTGAGTCAGCTAAAGCAAAGAAAGCCAGGTTTTGTCAGATTTGCTTCATCGTACCCCCCTCTTGATCTGACCTTGTTTTACTGTCATCAGTTTATGTTGTGGTCATCAGTTTGAATTGTCTCTACAACTCTAAATCTTGTATTATGTGCCATAAATTCCAGATTATAAGCCACAACTTTGTTCACACGCTTTGAACTCTGCGGCTTAAACAATGATGCGGCTAATTTATGGATTATTGCGATTTTTACGAATTTGCCTCGTGACCAAAGTGACATTGAGAGCGACAACGAAAGAGAGACTGAGGAAGTGTGTGATGAAGTAGTTCTGAGGCTGTTCAACTCTGACACTGAGGAAGACGACTTTAGTGGTTTTAGTGCAGGAGGAAGATGAAGATAGAGATCAATGACTTTTCATGGTAGGCTGCTGTAGTTTTTATTTTCTTAACCAGCCGTGTTACAGGCACTGTCAGGAAAAAAGCATTTATGTATTTGTGTATGTCGCCGGTACGTAGTTAATTAAAAGTTTAAAACATCTTTCTGTGTAAATATCTCATGTTACAGCGTGGACACCTGCAGCTTATAGACAAGTGTGGCCTGTATATGTACAAAACTTGTTTTCTTTTTAAAGTTAGTGGGTGCAGCTTGTATTCAGGTGTGCTCATAGTCTGGAATTTACGGTACTGATGTTTACACTTTGCGTCAAAAATAGAAGACTCTAAATGACTTAAATCATCCGTGAGACTCGCTCGCTACTAACTCAACAATACCGGTCCATCAGAGCAGATGAACAAAACNAAAATAACATATTTTCTGCATTTCCATTTTGGATTTTTAGCCTTTTCCACTACTGGAGATGCCTGTAATTCTGAAATCTGAAACAGAAACGTAAATAAAAAGCCAAAACTGTTCAGACCACACCGTCCTGCTATTACACGCTACCAGGTTCATTTTCTAATTAAAAGGATAATTGTATAGTTTTAAAAACCACATCTGCTAATCCATCTAATCAGGTGTTAGTATTTATTGTCACACAGCGTTGCCATTTAGCAGCGATCCTTTTTCACTGAGGAAGGAGACAACGATTTAATCAAAACAAGATTAAAACTGTTTATGACTTAATTAAAAGCTGCAGATATCTGAGGAACTGAGAGACATCTGAGCAGACTGACGAGCTCTTCTCCAGGTGACGCCGGGCCCTTTAGACGCTAAAAATGCCAGAAAAAGTCCTGATACAAGTCTGTAGGATGTAAAGATACCACAAGGCTCTACTAGATCTGGTCACATTCTGCAAACCAGCCTGTTTCTGTGGCCGTTCTGACCCACAGTTCTCTGCACAGTTAAAGACTGTCAGAGCTTAAGGAGCAACATGACGACAGCTGAATGCAGACAACATGCAACACACTGTAAAGGTCGCTGCAGTACATACAGAAAGAATACGATGTGGCGCACAGGATACGACGTCGAACTCACTGTGAACGAACACACGTGACCCGATCAGTAACGAGACGCTGCAAAGTCACACGAAACCCTGATGCAGCTCCAGTGCTGTAAACACGCCCAGAGTGGGGAACAGGAAGCTCTAATTACAACAACACATGTATCCAGAGGTTAAATGAACAGCTCCAATCTGTTGCTCGGCTACAAATCAAAGCTACAAGTAAAGGACTGGACTGTAAATCCGGCTTTATTGACCCACAGAGAACCTTGGTCACATTGGAGTCTGATGGGTGCACAATAAAGCTGCTGATGTTGACGGGCAGGGATCACGTCTGAAGTTAATAATCCATTTAGGCCACAAGCAAATAATATATCACACCGTCATCTACTTTAGATTAGAGGAGTTTTTTTCTGGCTGCACCTCGTTATCATTCAGCGATCGGGGAAAAAACCCCCAAAGTATTCAGAGTATTTCTATTTTTGTTTTGGGCGTCGCTGAGCTGAAGATGCAGCGACGATGTTCCTGCATGACCGTGATGAGGGTCATTTGTTTAGGTGGAGGGAAACAGAACCAAGAAGTCCTGCTTTACTGCACAATCTCTGTCCAAACGTGTCTTTTTCAGTGTTTAGGTGCTGCTTGGAGGTTGTTGTTGTTGTTTATCATTTTGAAAAGCGAGTGTTTGTGGAACACGGAGCAGAAATCAGGTGAGCAACTCTTCATTTGTTAAATTAAATTTTGAAGTCAATTTAATAGTATGAAAAAAACCCCACTGTATCACATGAGCAACTTTATTTAAATCCCAGAAGATCTATTAAATCAGTCACAAGCTGATCCACATACTGCTGACTTGCCATTCTTGTTTGTTTTGAATCATCTCTACACCCTGATATCCAGTAAAGGGTTAATTCTTCAGTCTCATAGACAGTTTGGGTTAAAGTGAAGCCTTACTGGAGCACATGATGCTGCCAGCAGAGAGGCTCAGTGAGAGCAGGACGGGAAAAACACAGCAGAAACCACTAGATGTCACTCTCACTACTTAGATGTGATGCTGACTGAGCTGCTGCTGCTGGCGGTTTGGGAGCCTCGACTAAATTCCTTCAGGAGAACACAGCGATGATAAAACAACACAGTCATGATCATAATGGATATAAACACATTGCTGCTGCTTTAAAAAAACAAAAACACACACATAGTGTTGATGAAATATGCAAAGACATCGAATAGTCTGAGGTACCAATGTACACGGTGGTGATCAGGGATTGTTCACTGCGTTAAAAAATAAAAACAGCTCTGATGGTGACGAGGTGACGAGGAGACGAGGTGATGAGGTGTGCGGGCTCACAAAACTCCACCTGGAATATTCTATCTGGGGTCATGACACAGAAGGATCGGGTCAACAAGGCCTCGCTACTGAGTCACGACGGGAACGTGCTCTCATTGGTGACGGGTGCATGAACAACGGCTACGAGAAGAAGAAGAAAAACTGAGGTCATCCAGGTCAAAAGATGGAAGGAGAGAGGAAACGAAGCTTCTCCCCCCACTTCCACTTAGCTGAACTGTAATGGCTGCGTTTATGTGTCTCTGCCCAGCGGGGTGAGGATGAGAGGAAAAAGAAAAGGGACGGGTGTATTAACCTGTCGTTGTGTCGCGTTAAACTCCACCACGCTTGAAAGGCGTGATGGAGGCGGGGGGGAGGATGGAGAGGAGTGCAAAGGAGGTAGAGATGGAGAGTCAAAGGGTGAGTTAGGAGAAGGAGGACGGAGATAGAAATGAGAAGGTGAGGCGGCGGCGGCGGCGGCGGCGTGTCCCTCTCTTTTCTCACTCTCTCTCTCTATCGGCCGTCACCCTGACAGGGCCGGTAATTGGACGTGGACCTCTCTCTCCCTCTCTCTCTTCTTTTCTCTTTCTGCGTCTCTGTCTGTCTCGCTCTCTCCCCCGTGGCTCTGCTCCTCAGCGGGAGCCTTGGGGCCCGGAAATAGCTGATGACAAGATAGCGGCTGCCTTTCATTCTGCTCAAGGTTACCCCACCCTTCCATGACAGGCGCAGGCGGAGGAGGAGGAGGAGGAGGAGGAGGGCGAGCGGGGGTATTTAGGTGGCTGTTTGCTTAAACCTGCGCTCGTGTGTTGACGAAAAGTCTTCTTACGTCCCCTTTTTCTTTCCGGTTGACCTTCTGCTTTTCGAGTGGATGCTGGAGTGAAACACACACACGGAGGCGACGGCCTCGAGGTTACGCTGAGGAGCTCCCGGCGCCGCCAAGGTGTGACAACATGGATCATCTTACTCTAAAAAAATAGATGTCAAACAAACACACAGTCCTCTCCTCCTCACACCGACAGCAGGAACTGTTCCTGCTCGGGCGGTTTTTTCACCCAGGTCCCGAGGCCCGTTTCCTGCAGCGATCTGAACCACTGCTGCTTCGCTGTCTGGTACGGACGCGCCGCCATCTTGGCCTCGCAGTACATGAGCTGGCGGTCCGCCGAGCCGGACACGTGGATCCCCAACTGGAGAGGGCAGAGAGGAAAGGAGGGAAAAAAGAAAAGAGAAGAGTCAGATAAAAGCGACATGAAGACAGGGAGGAGAAAAACAAAGAGGGAGGGATGAAGCCGGGGCAGAGGGGCTAAAGGTTTAGTGAGGTTTAGTGGTGGTGGAGGGCTGAGGAGGAGGAGGAGGAGGAGGAGGAGGAGAAGAAGAGCGAGCAAAACAAAACGAATGAGCCGGCACAAATGCATTTGGGTGGGGCTGGGGAGGGGTGGGGGGCTTCAACAGCTGTGTAATCTCCCCATTTAAATTTCACAAGCAATTGAACATTCTCTGTGCTTTTTGTGCATTCCTATTGTCGCGAGGGGAAACAATGAAGATCGGCGGAGAGACAAGTAGGGAGAGAGAGAGGGAGAGAGCAAAAGTTTCTTTTGGAGATTAGTGCGACTGCTCTTGCGTGGCCCTTATATACGGCGCGCAGGGAGCACTTAGGGTGGGGGCCTCCTCGAGTACTTCTCCAAATAATTATGGTTTCATAGTCATTATGCTTTAACGGCCGCCATTTGGCGATGCAGGCAGTGTCTGTTACATAAAGTTTCAGGATGGAAATGAAAGTGCGGCGGGTAAAGATCCGAGCTGCCAGTTTTTGATAAGCCGCATAGACAGCAGATGTTGCCAGGCCGACAAATTTATCGACGGCAGGGAGGAAATTCCACGTTTCCTCTGTTACGCGGCGCTCTGTGACTCGGATTCTGATGCTCGTGTTTGTGCCTTTTGACTGCTGGCATGCATCTCTGCAGTTAATGTCGCCGTGGCGCTGGCTGTGTGAGGCCCGACGCATATTGTTTCTGACAACAGCTGAGTAATGCCTCTCGTGCTTTCCTGCGTTCGCAGGCAGCAGACACGTATTCACACCAAATGTGCTTATTGTTCAGGCTCACATTCATTAAATAGTATTTTTCTCCAACAAGTAAAAGACACAGAGTGGAAGGTCTTTTTTTAATTAACTTTTAAATGAGTAGAACTTCATCCACAGCAGATATTTCCAAATGTCATAACAGGCAAGAGAGCGGCGTAATTAATGATATTGACAGTAGCTGTTTTCCAGCTCTGGTTTCGTGCATGTTGCTGTTCTTAAACAGAACGGAGCTGTGACACATCTGTTAGACCTTCTTCTACCACACTGAGAAAGTCAAAACGCCTGCTGGAAGGAGAGCCGGCAGAGTGAAGTGACTCACCAGATCTGTCAGCCGTTTACTTTTATAAATTCCCTTTTCTGTTAAAGACACCGTCAGCGTTGATCCACATAGAAACATGTGGATCCCCTTCAAGAGGTGAGCTACGAAGGCGTGTCCCTTTTAACCTGCTACGTCACCATGGTAACTGATGCTGCACCTGGTCTGGAGGAGGTTCTGTTCAGAGTTTAACTCAGGTGTAAGAAGCGTCACCGTTCTCTCTGAGCAATTTAGATTCTTGCCTGAAGAAATACATCACATCTCGAAAGCTGCTGATCGATATGTTGGTAATACAATGAACGAAGCTGAGCGGTTACAGCAGCACCGACTGTATGCGTTGCGTTGCCATGGAAACCAACATGAATCCAGTTGTTTATGGAGTAAATATAAAGACTGTATGTTTTCACACTGCAGCTATGACAACTCAGATTAGAAAACTGATTCGTCTGCTGCTGTTTATTTCATGGAAAATTAAATCAATGACATTAATTTAATTTTGATTTAAACTAAAGTGGTTTCCACGTATCTTCACCACAGGGCTGAATTTGACCCGAAAGACACTTTTTATTGTCGTGTTTGAAGTTTAAGAACTTTAATGATGCCGCTGAGCTCTTATTCTGCTTCATCAGTCCATTAATGTGACGACATTCTGCCATTAAAGACATCGGTCATTGTTATGTTTATGTTCCTCCAGGTTTTATTCAGACGTACGGTGACAGACACACAGTATGATGTTTGTTATTCATTCATGTTCCAGGTGATGTGTGATACTGACTAAATCTACACTATTAGCAGCTGATCAAACTCTCCAAATAACTAACAGCTGAGTTTATTTGTCTATACAACATGACACTGAAGCTCAGGACTCAATCTGAGGACGGCTGTGATGATCTAGCTACTGATCGCATAAAGGTGAGTCGCGTTCTCTCTTTGGAAATGGAGATCATGTTGATCCTGCTGCTGCCTGAAGCTTTAATAAACTCAGACTCCTACAAACAGCTGGAAGGACAAACTAAACTGGGATTCTGTGGCCTGACTCACCATCAGATCCTGACCTTAATAATTTAGAATTATCAGAATTAATAATGTGACCGATGTTGATGTTCCAAATGTTCCAAATGTGTGGAGGAAAAAAAACCAAATGACATTTATTGCAGTGTTGTTGTCATGGTAGTGAAGTTTTACTATTATGGATTTAATTCCGTCACCGAACAGAAATTGTAGAGATTTTAGCACAAACTGCCCTCTGTGATGTTTTTGGACATCAGCTTTTACGATTAACAGTTTTCCACTAGCACTCCTCTCCTGCCTTACTTGCGGTAACGATCAAATTGTCAAAGTTTGCTGTTCATCATAATTGTAAATGTTAACAACACATTCCCTTTGAGTAGATGGAACACAATCTGTCAGTCCTGTGTCGAGGGAAAGTCACATGAAACATCCCTTTTTATGTGAAACCTGGCTAGCAAAGAAAGCTGATACCCGCTTCATCATGTCTGATTGGGGTGTGAGGTTCTGTTGAGTCAGCTAAAGCAAAGAAAGCCAGGTTTTGTCAGATTTGCTTCATCGTACCCCCCTCTTGATCTGACCTTGTTTTACTGTCATCAGTTTATGTTGTGGTCATCAGTTTGAATTGTCTCTACAACTCTAAATCTTGTATTATGTATCGTAATTTCCAGACTATAAGCCGCGATTTTTTTCAACACGCTTTGAACTCTGCGGCTTAAACAATGATGCGGCTAATTTATGGATTATTGCGATTTTTACGAATTTGCCTCGTGACCAAAGTGACATTGAGAGCGACAACGAAAGAGAGACTGAGGAAGTGTGTGATGAAGTAGTTCTGAGGCTGTTCAACTCTGACACTGAGGAAGACGACTTTAGTGGTTTTAGTGCAGGAGGAAGATGAAGATAGCGATCAATGACTTTTCCTGGTAGGCTGCTGTAGTTTTTATTTTCTTAACCAGCCGTGTTACAGGCACTGTCAGGAAAAAAGCATTTATGTATTTGTGTATGTCGCCGGTACGTAGTTAATTAAAAGTTTAAAACATCTTTCTGTGTAAATATCTCATGTTACAGCGTGGACACCTGCAGCTTATAGACAAGTGTGGCCTGTATATGTACAAAACTTGTTTTCTTCTTAAAGTTAGCGGGTGTGGCTCATATTCAATGGTCTGGAATTTACGGTACTAATGTTTACACTTTGTGTCAAAAATAGAAGACTCTAAATGACTTAAATCATCCGTGAGACTCGCTCGCTACTAACTCAACAATACCGGTCCATCAGAGCAGATGAACAAAACACGAAATTCACCCTGAATCTGAACTCAGTCACGTTTCTGACTGTTGCATCAGGGTAACGGTCGGATGTTTCTTAGCTAAATGCGTCGTGTGAGTTCCGGTGTGAGCCTCACCTTGCGGTACAGTCTGCTCCAGCGGCTGAACAGGGCGTGCTTGCAGAGGCGCGAGGCTGTCCCTGAGTCCCGTCTCCGTCCCGTCGCCGTGTTGACCACCTCCAGCTGCGCGTCGCCCAGCGTCCAGTTGACGCTCACGCACGAGGCCTTCCCCGGCTGCTGGTACTCGGCACAGCTCAGCCCTACAGGGGGAGACACCGGCACCAGGTCGGTGAGTTTGACCTCCACAACATTCAAGGTGTCGCCCTACAGGTGATCCAAATTATCTTTACTCGGAAAAACAAAACATTTCATAGAAGCCTTCAAAGCGTAATGCACCTGTGAGCGGAAATTTGCAACCGTGTGTTTTTTCCTTTCAAACCGCCACTTTGTTGTTTCGTTTAACCTTCCTTCACCCTTGCCTCGCTCTTTCCCCGAGGCTGATGGCAGACATAAAGTTTTGCAGCGCTGCAAAAAGCCAAGTCAACCCGGGCCTGAAACTGCATGGCTGTTTATGTGAAGCTTTGATACACCCTCAGAGACAAAGGGGACCGGAGAGGGAGGGCTATCAAACACGTGAGCGATGTGTTCCTGCCTTTGTACGAGCGCTTGTCTGCGCCGGCGTTCCCGCGGTTAACCATGTTTGAGTGTCGCCGGCTATATGGGCTGTAAATATTATCTCCAGTCACAAAGATCAATCGCTGCCTACACTGGACAGTCTCTCCGTTCTGCCCTCTCTGCCTTTCTCTCTGAAATAATTAGCCTCGCCAGCAAAGCACACAAAGCGATCGGCGGAGGAAAGAGAAAGAGAGACGGCGGTGGAGGGAAAGTGGAGGTGAGCGGCGGTCACATTGGGTTCCACCAGGAGAATCAGCTGTCTGCGTTGAGAGCACAGGTGTTGGCAGAGGTGCTGGGCCTGTGGCGGAAATGGAGCTGACAGTGGGGTGAGAAACAAATGAGGGCTCGGGGCAAAAATGTCCTTTCGAGGCCTCCGTGGGTGTTTCACAGGAGCCAGTCTCCCGGTGCATGGAACAGACAAGTTTTGATTTACACCTGATTGTACAGCCTGAAGCCGGAGGAGATCTGGAATCACACAGGACACGGGTCTGCCAGAAGCTTCCAGCCAAGGTATAGTCTATATCAAGCTGTATATTTTTTATTACTTTAGCTCATTTTTATTTATTTTGACGTAGGTCCTGACTGAGATCATTAATACGTGTTGACCCAGATGTAAAGAGAGCAGCATAATATATAGAAGGATGATCAACCATGAAACTAGTCCTACCTCGACATTTCTATTTCTTGCAGAGTCTTAGAACGTATGATGCTCAGATAGCCTGGCTCCGTAGATATAATAAGCCTACCAGCATTGCTAAAGCTCACAAATCAACACACCATATCTTTATTCTTTAATCTGAAGTTTAATGTTGTTGCTGATGCTTTGCTATGTTTCACTGGGGTTCTGGTGGACTGAAATAGCAAAAAGCTTTAGACATCTGTGCTGCTTTTGATGTTCTACAGGTAACAGGTAATAATTTTCAGAACATTTTAGCATTGTAAATGTTCTTCTTCTCTTAACATTGATGAACATGGCAGCCAATATTATGCTAAGCTTACTATCAGGTGAAGAAACGAAGCAATTTCTAGGCATTTTTTTTGGCTCCTGTCACATTTTTTAAAATCATTTTTAACTAAAACATAAAGTCCTGCACCTGTATGGAAACAGCACAGACCAGGACACAGTTAGAGTGTCATACATCCATATATAGATATGTTACCAAAATGGAAAAACAAAAAAGTAGAAACAACATTTTTCTAAGTGGTCATGCATGTTACCTTCACTAGAACAAAAAACAAAAAAAAACAAAAACAAACTGTGTCTCTACATACTGTAGATATTTACTACTTACATTTCTACAACTCAACAAACTCAGTGTCTTTCATGCTACTTTACACATAAAGTCAACAAAGATATTTCACCATTTGGTGGATGCAGCTTCATCAGTCAGTAACATTTTATTATTATTATTATTATTTATTTATTTTTACATGATTTGGTGTAAAAAAAAAAGTGTGTATTCTGGACAAATGTTTGAATGAGGATGAAGTATCACGATCTCATGACTCGTTTGAAGACAGTCAAAGTGCTGAAAGTCCAATGATTCCTTCTGTTTTACTCATAAATGGTGTCATTTTGAAGTTGGTTCTAGAAGACAACATGCCTTTCACTGCCAGTTGGGGTATTTGGGGCTCAGAAGGTAATATTTAACTTCCCTGGGGCTGATATTGCAACTGTGTGTATAATGTTTTGTAAATGACTTAATTGTGAAGCCTGAAAAGAGTGTATGTAATCTATACTGTTTTAATTAAGTCTTCCTTATTTCCAAAATCATAAACAAAATCAGTAAAAACAAGAACAAAGAAATAACCCTGTAACTCTAAAAAAAGATTTCTGCCATCAAGTCAAACCTCACATTGTTAATTTAACTAAATATGCAAGTGTCTGTATCACAGATCTATATGGCGTTTGTAACAGACTGAACAGCATAAAACCAGTTCAAAGCTCATTAGACCTCCGTGGACTAACATCATGCTGACACATGAGCAGCAGCAGCCAATGACGTGTTTCCATGTAAACACCTGCATGTTGTCTCAGTATGTCTTTAAAGAACCACATGTGCTCCTTTAACATTATATTCACTGTAAAGCTGTACAACTGTCTTGAGAGAGGAATTGCTGTCTCAGATTCCAGCTTGACTTCCAACCAGCTATTAGCTACATGAAGGTGCCTTCGTAGGAAATCAGCCGGCAGAGTCTGCGTGACGGGCGAACAACAGTTGCCTCTGATCTCATCGTCTGACTGGCAGCTTGTTATAATCCAATACCTGATCTACAATGCCACAATACATGCCCGCAGATCATCTCCCCTCCTTTCCACGCTCATTTTCCCGTCTTCACTCTTCCATTCACCAATCTCACCTCTTCTTTTCTGTTGCTCCTTGGAACTGGAATGAATTGCCTGCCACAGTAACAATCCTCCAAGTCTCTTATTACCCATCTCCTCTCTCTTGTGCACACGCACCTCTTTGAACAAAAGGCCCTCCTATCCATCCTGCCTTTTTTCCCTTTCCTCTCACTCCATTCATGCCTCATTTCATCCCTTCAATGGGCTTGACTCCTCTGTTTCTGTAATAGCCAATTTGATTTTTCCTTCATTGAAGACTTGATCAATTTCTCTTCTGGGAAGTGGCAGACATGAAAGAGGCAGAATTAGAGCCTTTGGTTATGAGATTCGTAACAGTACAGTACACATGCCCACGGCTTAATATCTCAGGCTGCTGTGTTTATGTGTACACACTGCATCTGTCCTGCATTATTACTGGAGCACTGCAGGGCTTCCAGATGTGGAGCAGCAGAGGAGAGGCAACAGTTATGTGGAAGGATCAGACTTTATCAGGACTGTGAATGAAAGGCTGCTGGTTCAAATCCCTGAAACACAAATTTTGGCTATTTTTTTTAAGGAAAATATACAACTATTGAGGGCAGTTATCCAACAGAGTACGACATAAATATATACTGCTTTAACAAGAAACACCTCTTGATATCATGCAGTCCATTAGCACCACTAAACATGACCTTAAAGCTAAAACACATAATCGAATACAGACTTTATGAGCATCATAAAAATGGACTTATATGTTGCACTGGATTGCATTCGACATAATTAATTGCAAAATGACTGTATTTTGACGTGTTACAGCAGCTACTAAATATGTGGCACGTTTAAGTTCAGAGGATTGTTGCTTAAAGGCACCTTTAATAGAGCAATATTGTACATGCAGGCTAATGTAGCCAGGAAGGCACAGATCTACAATATAGAGGAGACTAAGGCCACGTTCACACATAGCCGGGTATTCACAAAAACAGATCTACGTTTTCAAAAACAGAACATTCTTCACATCAGATTGTTTTCAAAAAAATCTTCGTTTACATGAACCTGCATAAACACGTCGTTTAGATTTGCTATGAGCTGCCCAACCTATAGGGGGCAGTGTAATGAGACGTATAAAGCCATGCTAGCCAATCAGAATCCTGGAAAAAACCCAACAACGAATGGCACGAATTACTTCCTGTTACTTCAACGATAATGGGTCGTTTGTTTGGCCCAACAGAGACGTGGAGCTGCTCCTAAATGTGGTGTTAGAATATAAAACAAGTAAAATACTTGATTTCTATCACAGTAGCCAAACTGTAAACATGGTCGCACACACGTGATGATGCTTTTGTCGCATACTGTGACGTCAAACTCCGTCTCCTCGTGTCTACATGCAAACGTAAAGACAGAGTTTTTCCAAATCTCCACTGTGGCCGGAGTTTTCAGATATGATCAGTGACTCGTAGCTTCGTTTATGTTTAAACCAAACGCATTGAAATATCACCGCTTTAGCTGCATGTAAATGGAGACACAGGACCGCCAGCTCCTCAGGACAAGACTCCAACCTCCTTTGAGGACAACAATGTTGTTATTCTGGAGTGAGAGGACAGATGATCTGAGAGAGGAGGGAAGGAAGACATCCGTGTTAACCTGGAACACTCTAAATAGACGAGGAGGTGTGTGACACCACTTATCAGGTACTGATAATGCAGTCCTGAGGAAGCTTCACCACCATCAGCACCTTGAGTCATCCCTCACCTGGCAGTTTCACAACCAATCCCACCTGGAGGCTGTGAGTGTTGGCTTGTTAGCGGGCCATGAGCCATGTGAGATACGTATATGTGGGACTTCTCATCAGTCAGTCAGAAGTGAAGAAGCTTCTGCAATGAGGTGAAATAACTGGAAATGGAGCTGTGACACAAATCAAAGTAATGTAATTGGTAAACCATTTGCATTATTAAGTAACTTTCCGAACAATGAACCCGCATCAGAGTTCACATCAAGTCTCCTCTGATGCTGAATTCCAACTTCATGCAAACACAAACACGAGACCACAGAACAAAATGACTTTTTCAACAGGGAAAATCTGGATTGTAAAAAGCCGACGTGGCGGGGCGTAGCTGTAAAAACAAGCGTGATCCCTCAGCCAACTCCAAAACTCCGACAGCAGCGGAGAACGATCATTATTAATGTTTCCTTTATCTGCTGCTGTTCCGATTCCTCTTATCCCGAAACAACAAAGCCCCGCCACAGTTTGTGTTTGGCGAA